TCAGTTAGCCAAGCTTCACTTAAACAAATTATATCGAAAATAAATTCATGATAATTTAAACTCGTTTTTAACTCTTCCACATCTTTTGATATAGCTTTAATAATATCAACATTGTCGTTCGACATCTTTTCCACTTTATCAAGACGCTGATTTGTTATTTTTAGATTAGCGTTAACTATATTTGCAAAATTTCTTTCTTGTTTTTTCAGCATTGCTTCAATTTTGTTCTCAAACTCCTCAAACATATCCTTTATCATTATTTTTATTTCCACTATAATGTAACTGTCATTTTTGAAGATTTGTTGTTTTATTTTTATATTATTATCATTTTTATTTTTATTTTTTTATTTTATTAAAATTTTTTTTTTTTAACCACGTTGCAAACACACTTCCGATCGTTACAAAAGCCTACGCTCCAATTTATGAAGGCATAATAAATGAAGGCATAAAAAATCGCTTTGCAGTTTATCGCATAAGCAATTTTTTAAAAAAAGTTTCTGCTATTTTTGCGGTTTTTTGCGATTTGTCGGATTTTCGCATTTTGTAAAAAATCAAGATCACAGACATCTTTTCATAAAACATATTAAAATAAATATTTATTATTATTATTATTATTTTGTATCAAATGAAACAAAGTCCTGTTCTTACTTTTTTGAATTAGTTTTGAATTGGATTTTTTGCGAGTTTTCCATTTATTGCGAGAATAACAATAAGTATAACATTTATTTGCTAAATTGGATTTCTAGAGTTTATGGAAATATTAGACGATAATAGCGATCTTTGCAACAAATAGCGATTTTTTAATAAAATTGCAGTATGTTGCGAGAATAACGATAAAAACGCCATTTAATCGTAATTGCTGCGACTTTTGTTTTCTTAAATCGAAAAAAGTCGCATTTTGATTAGTTAGCGGCTAATCGTAATCGAAAAAATTGTTTTGCAATTATCTAACAATTATCTATCTGTGGTTGCACGCCTTGTTTGTTATCGCATAAAGTATTTTTTTTTGGACACATGACCACGTTTTTATTTAGTAAGCATTTTAAGAACTTGCGGCAAAACAAACCTATAAGAAACTAGAGAGAATAAGACAGCAATACTCGAACTAAAATATAACAAAATACTTTTTTGCCCATCTTTTTTTATTTTAGTTTCTATCAACTCATTAATTTTTGGCGTCATTTCAGTTATAAATACAAGTGCGTCAGACTCAAGTCTGTGGCCTTGTATTAGTTTAGCCAATTAATCCGCAAGCTGGCTAATTTATTTGCTAAGTTTAAAATCAGGTTATATTCTTTTCGCACCCCATTGTGAAATATAATTTCTAAACCCTTTATTAAGTTCTTTTTTAGACCGTTTCAATTTAGGGTATTATTCAATTTTAGAAAGCCTAGGTGCTAGCCTAGATGCTAACCTGGTTGCTGGCCTAGGTTCTGGCCGAGGTGGTGGTTGAGTTGTTGCTGTTAATAAAACGACCTCCTCTCGCCACTGCGTTAAAGTGGTAACCTTTTCACGTAAAAGCTTGGATAGCTCTTCTTTTTTACTGAGTTCATCTTCATTATACAAATTATCTATTTTCTAATTGTTTTTTATAAAGCTGCCAACTTTTTCAGCTTTCCAATCTCTACAGTAACCTGCAAAAGCTTTGTTAGCTTTTTGACTTTTTGCTATGTTTTGGAAATTCTCTTCTACATTTAATCACAAGCTTTTCTAGCTAGCGATCTTAGTGGCCAAATCGTCTTTATCTAAACGAATATCGCTACCCAGTCTCTAGACAATTTATGGCATTGCGTTTCTCTCCATTAAAGGGTTGTTTAAAAAAACGTAAGCAACCTTCTAATGGACAGAAAGGCCATATCATAAATATTATTTACCCAAGATACATCTTGTTATTTTAAATTCAAACCTTTTTAAAAGTTTTTTAAAGTCAAAGTTTTTATTTTAATAGTAATTGTTTGTAAACTTTTAGAAAATATCAATTAATAATGTAAATAAAATAATTAATGTAAATAAAATCAATAAAAATTGAATCGAAATGCAAATATAAAGATTATCCTGTTTTTTTTCCCCCGTGATTTAGATACGGTATTCATTAGGTTTATTTATTAGTATTTAGCATTATAGTAGTAGCCAATACATATACAGTGAGGGTAAAAAATAAACGACATCCTCCTCATTTTTCAATTTTTTTTGCTGATATGTTTTGTATACATTTGACGTATATCTACTATAGACCACGGGTCATAATATAATAAGACGCTTTCAAGTTAAGTTTCATGATACAGTCGTGAAATCTAAAAAATAACAATGTAAATGAGTGTTGTGAAGATTCTAAAATAAAAATTTATCAATTTAAAACTTTGCAGTTCTTGACTTATCGAGCTTCGAAAAACCATCAAAACGATCTATCGATTTTTTTTCGATTATTTATATTTACTATGAAAAAATAATAACTTTTTTCCCATAATGTAATTGCATTTTTAATTTCTAATGGTTTAAAGACCAAAAAAAAAATTTTTTTAAGTATTAACGAAGGTATCGCATTAACGTGTTGTTATCGTGTAAAAAATATCGACTTTATTGATTTATAATCGATTTAAACAGTAAAACAACTTTTTACAATCTGATTCTCTTTAAAAAAACGTTTTTAATTATTTCTAAATGTTAAATCTAAAAACTATTAGTTAAAAGAACTTGGTTTATTGCAATACAAGTACTACTAATAAGCTAAACAACGAAAAAAATAGTAATACTAAAGAACTTCACCTTTTCTTAGCTCAAAATTCCAATTTAATAAGAAACAAAGCTTACTCAAATGTTTTGGATTGCATAAATAAATGGCTGAATTTCTGAAACGCGGTAGTGGTGAAGTGGTAGAGCGCTTGCCTTGTAAGCGAGAGGTTTGGAATTTCTACTAAGTCCTTGGAAGTACTATTTAAGTACCTTGGTTTCTTTAGCCTTTTTCGTTAAGGTTTGTGTTTTGGAGTTAAAAAGTTGAGAGAGGATTGTAACCACAATTCAAAAATGAAAAAAAAAAAAAAAAGTAGCCTCTTCGACTAAAGTGGCCCCCTCGGCCTTAGGGAGGTAAATATTAGAAAAGTATCGAAGGACCAAATGACTGTCGGAAAATGCTTTAAAAATTGCACTGTAATTTAAGATTTTAATACCATTATCAGTTCGTTGCAGATAGATGTTTTAGTGCTTCTAGACTCTTAATTTAATTATTACAAATTTGAAAACATCTTTAAGTGATAAATTGATCAAAAAATTATGTTTTTAGTGTTCTATCTTGAAAATTTAGTTAGTTTATGATTTGTTATACCTATATAGTACTATGAAAAAAAATATATGTAATATTTTTTTTGTCTGGAAAATAAAATTACTTAAAACTACTTAATTTACTTAAGTAATTTGAAAAGACTTAACATAAAACAAACCTTTTTTAAAGAAAAGGAGCTTAGTAACATTTTATGGCTTTTTAAAGTATAACTAAAACACTACCCAGCCAACAATGATATGGGCACCGTTTGGGTTGTTAACTGGAACTCATATGGGATGACTTCTGGGATGCTGTCTAATTTTGACAGTGGTTTCTATCTTAGGTTCATATGGATTAGTTTACTGGGAATTCTGTATAAATCTTTATGATATTCCTTGCTTTAAAACTGTAAGGATTCCATGTAGATTTGAAACTAGAAGCTATGTGAGAAACCCTCCTGAAACTCGTTGGATTAACGAATCATTAGTCAAACTAACCCCAAATTATAAGCTAATGAATAATTTAACATCAAGTTCAATATATAAATTGTAATTTTTGTTTAAGTATCGTTTCGTAAGTTTTGAAAAATTTCAACTCCTGATAGCCGATCAATTTTCCCGCCAATTTGGTATTGAAAAAAATTTGAAAACAAAACATTTAAAATGTTTCTTTTTCAAATATATATATTTTTTTAATGTAACATTTTGTTGATAAAAAAAAGGTAAACTTGGAATAAATTTATAGATTATTTATATCATTGTATTATAACATTACTTAAAAACCAATTTAAAAGTTTGATTTCACTGGTCTATAAATTATGCTCAAAGGAACAAAACTAAGTTCGAATGTGATAAAATTTAAAAAGGCAGGATTACCATTTAAAAGATAAGCATAGAGATAAATTTAAAATTTAAAAACGTTATTACAAATTATTTGAAGGATACCAATGATTATGGAACAATTATGACACCTGGAAGACTTCCCAAACTAACCAAAACAGCGACAAGGCGCCTTTAAAAAAAAAGTTTCAAAAGGATTATCTTTATCTAGCGGTCTTTAATAGCAGCAGCTTTAATATACTGTCGGCGTTCGTAGAATTTAACAAATGTTAAATAAATCTTTAAACATAGTTTTTTACTAAATGCGTAGGAGCACCTTTGTTGACAAAAAAAAACACATTGTAGAACGGATTGTATGGGCACAAGATAAAAAGTCATGTGATGAAGCATGGAACAATGTTATCTTTTCAGACGAAAAAAAGTTTAACTTGTATGAGCTTTATTATTGGCATAACCTGCGCACATTTTGGCGAAGATTTACTCATGATTTTTTCAGTACTTTAGGCAAGTTTAGCCCCCTCCAGCCCCAAACAGGGCAATAAATCAAATTTGTAATTTTTTTTTTTTAATCTTAAACTTTATTTATATTGATCGACAAATTTCAAATTTGATTCAATAATCTCTTGTTTATCGGCTTTTATGACCTTATAAAGTTTACAGCCTCCTCAATTTGAGGGGGGTGCAAACTTTATTTTGATTGTCACCAGATTACTTAAAAAGCCGGTTGAGTTAGACAAAAATAGTGAAAAATAATAAAAAATAAAAATAGGGAAAAAAAACCAGAGTTGTGTTTTTTAGAACAGGACACCGAATTTGTTTAAACTTTTTACATTAATTTAAATTTGTTTTTTATTTTTCAACTAAGGACTTTTTTAAAATAAAAATCGAATAAAAAAATCTAATTAATAATTACTATTATTTTCATTCTGAAAAATAAATATATTTTTACAAGGTTCTACTTTTTACTCCACAAAAAAAGTTCCATTCACTTGATAATATACATATATATATATACAAAAATTCGATAGTGTACTTAAATAACTAATATGTTTTCTCAAATATAACGAGAAGCGTAAAATAAATATTAAAAGCGGTTTCCGTTATTTCGCACCGGTTGCGCAAAAAGGTCATAAAAAAATTAATTTATGTAAACCGGTTGTTACAAAACAATACAGCAAACTAAAGTGAATAAAGGACTGAAAAATTTCACATAATTAGAAAATTTATAATTAAATCCCGTCACTATCAACAAATAAAGTTGATTACATTTTATATTTAAAATTATGAACAATATAAAATAGAAAAATAGATTAAAAATCTTATAGGAAATATTGCTTTTTAAAATGTTTTCAATGAAAATTCTAAAATAATTTTTTGAAAATGAAGTTATTTAAACAACGCATAAAACTTTCAAAAATAGCTTAGTCAATAAGTAAAAAAGATGAAAAAACATAAATATAATTTGGCAGTTAAGATTTCACACGGCCATTTTTTAATTCATCGTCGTCAGTAAATATAATTTCCTCTTCTTCTGCATCAAAATCTGATATTTCTGAATCCTCTACAAATAGGTTATTTTTGGTTGGACGAACATCCTGAAGATAATTATGATCTAAATGATCCCGAAGTGGTTTAAATCCTCCTTTCTCATTTTTTATTTTTGTTTGATAAATTCGAACAGTAATAAACACAAGTAATAAGAAAACAAATATACAAGAACTTGTGAGAGCTACAAACACGACTGAGGTAAGACGCATTTTGTAAGAACTGGATCCTGCCTTTTCAAGAGCCAGGTTTACTACAGCAAGATGTTTTGAGTTTAATTCTACATTTATAACTTTAGTTTCATAACCGTCTGCTGTAGCAATAAGCTTATATGTACCAGGAACAAGAATACGCCAAAAATCTCCAAATTCTGAAGTCGAGGTGTTGTATTCTCTCCCATCTACTTTAATTTTTACCCCTGGTATACCCTTATTTGAAATACTATCATAAACAAAGCCTTTTATACCAGTGTGTGCCTAAAAAAAAAAATTTAATAAAATTTAAAAATATTAATAAAGAAATTTAAACAAAAACAAATTTATAGAAAAATCACAATGGAAAAAAAAATTGTTTTCTTTAAGTTAAAAAAATTTGAACAAAAATATACAAAAAACTAAATTCAACCAGTGTTGTTAACAAGGCCAAAAATAGCAAGGTCAAAGCCACATGTTCAGAGAACAAGGCCAAAAGTTTCAGGACGGGAGACAAGGCCAAGAGTTTCAAAGCCTACTCAAACATTTTCAAACTTAAGTCTTTCAAAGACTTTTTTTAGTCTTATGTTAAGGCTAATTGTTAATAAAACTGCAGGTAGCAAGTTCTGTTACAATAAAACCACATGTTGTGAAATTATACTAAGGTTATGCACAGAACTCAACAAAGTCAATATGAAAATATATTTGGAGATAATATGAAAGCCAAAAACAAAAATACATTAAAATAAATTAACATCATTTCATTAAAATATATTGATATTAGTTGTTAGCGTTAACTATTTTTATAGTTAAGTCATAATCATTAACTATCACTATATAGCCTATAAGTCTTTGTTACATTTTTACAAGAGACATCAAGTTTCAAGCAACGAATCAGAGCTCTATGAGGGGGCATTATCAATCCACTCTAAACATATGCTTAACAGGAGCTGATGTTTCAGGGACACAGAAATACTTGTCAAATATATATTTCTAATTTTTATTTCATTGTGTAATTTTTTTTTTAACAACTCTTTTTGATTAAATTCTAGTGATTTATTCATTCAAGATAGCTTGTCAAAATTATTTAGTAAAATATGATTTTTTTAAATAATTTGCAAAAATGTTTTTTTTTGGTAAAGAGCTTCTAAATCTGAGGTGTAACACTATTTTTAGTAGATATCAAAGTGGTTTCTGGTGTAATTCTTGAGCAAATCTTTGATAGTTTAGTGACCTAACTATCAAAGAAGCATAATCAATCTATTGCTTATTGGTTCAAAGTGGATTTTTATAAATAAAATTATAAAAAAAAACTATTAAAAATACATTATTAACAACTTTTTTGAACAGATTTAAGTTAAATAAAAACAATATAAATAATAAAAAAAAACTTTAAAATAAATTATAATTTAAATTTAATAAAAGCTATTTTAATTCAAAAAACCTTTAAAATTCTATTTTTAATTTTAAGAAAAGTTCATGTGTGTAAATCTTTTTTGAATTTTGAAATGTTTCAACTTTCATAAAAATGTTAAAATAAATCTTTCAGTTAAATATATGGATGTATTAAATGCCCATTAACCAATTGTGTCATTGGTTGTTGTTTTAAAATGACTAGTCAAAAAATGCAATTTAAACCGTGGCATAAAACACAAAATTAAGTTCTAAAGCTTTCAAGTAAATATAACTCTTGTAAACAAAATTAAACGTAATACAATTTTAAAAATGCAAACACAAAAGCAAATTCTGAAATTCTAAACTCAATGAATTCCCCTTAAAATCAAAATAAACAATAAAACTGATTCAATAAAACTTTGTCTAAACTGTAACTAATTTGACTACCTTCTATTTTGGCTCTTGAATCCTATGGCCGTACAATTCCTTTCATAACAGTTAAGCAGGTTAACTCATATGGTTTGTGATCCAGACAACATTCCTGTCATAATTTTATAAAAGTATTTTTATGAAATTATTTTGAACACAAGTGTTCAGCAGAATTCTCTTCAATCCTCTCTAAACTAATAAGACTGAATCTTGTTTTGAATGCTGGGAAATTTTATCTGTGGTTCCAATTTTTAAAAACTCTGGAGAGCATTCTAACTTCCTAAACTCTCATTCAACATTAAATTCTTTCTGTTATTAGTAAAGTCTTTTATCAACTAATTTCTAACATCCCATTTTCTTTCTAACCGCTTTATCAAAGTCATCCTCAAAAGCCAATCTTCTTCAATTCTAGTAACTTCTGGGGTACCTTAAGGTTCTATCCTTGGTCCTGTTTTGTTTCTTATATACATTAATAATCTTCCTGACAACCTTACAACTATAGTAGCTCTATTTACTGATGACTCAACTTTATACTCCTGTCTTGACTAAAAGTCTTTTTTCAATTGTTTAGAACAGGCAGCCAATCTGGAATCTGATCTCACTTCTGTAACAGATCAGGGCTTGCAGTAGCATGTGAAATTCAACCAGGTGTCTATAAACTAACAGTTGCTAAAATGTTCAAGGGGAGATGGGTTTTAAAATATTACAACAAATTTAACCGCACTATAAATTGATTTCTGTTAATAAACAAGATCATTCTGGTCTATCAAACCACAAAAATTTTGCTAAGGAAGTATCAACTCAATTAAGTTAAATAATTTTAATAAGCAACAAGTAACATTGAGCAAAATAATAATAACATATACATAATAAATAAACGTAACAATTATAACTTAGTAACAATAGCAAAAAAACTTATGTTTTTTATTTTTATCAAAAGTTTAAAATAAACATTTCAATAAGCAATAACAAATAAAAATATTTCAATCACCATAGCAATTAATTTGAGTAAAGATTTCCTATGACTATTCCATAAGCCTTCTAGCGCAGCTTGTGATGGTGCTTTACAACAGCCAGCATAAATTGCAAGCTCAAAACCTTTACCATTTTTGTAACTATAATCCAACATTGGATGACTATGCCCACTCCACTCTGCCATATTTATTATACCATCATCAAACTGCTCATTAACATCAGGACCAGGGCAAAAGGGTTGTCCATGCATCATTGTAGAATGTTCTTGAGAATAGCCTAAAAGTAATAAAATAAAAATACAACTTTTTTCTATAAAATTATATAAATTCAGCGTGGAAAATAAGAAATTGAATGCAATGAATACTAAAAGAAATTATTTTGTGAAATGCTACTATTAACAGTAACTAAGTTGCATAAAACGATGTTTTAACTTAAAATTTTTAAATATATGCTTTTGCCTAACTCCTTCATTAATAGAAAAAAAAAAGTGCAAATGCGCTATTGATAATTTTAAATTTATATAAAAATTATTTATTTATTGTAATGATTTAGCAAATGGCAGAAAAAGCTACAAGAAAAATAAATGAACAGATTGAATGAAAAATAAAAAACAAAGTACAGTTGGAAGAACAGATTAAATGAAAAATAAAAAACAAAGTACAAAGTTGGAAGAAAAAATGCTTTTAGTTACATACAACAATTTCAAGAAATTAAATTAAGAATTTTAATCTTCAAAGTTAACGGCATTAAAGATAATTAGTTGCTCATTTTATTTCTCTGCTCATTAAAATCATTTTAAAAACTGCTAATATTAATTAGTTAACTTTTGTTCACAACTATTCAAACTTAGTTCTTAATATAAAGAAGATAATTGTTTTAAGAACACTACAATAAAAACTGATGTTAATCTCTTGTACGTATCTATTTAAACTATTTTTAAAATTAAAATACTTTCAATCATGTAAAAATAAAACGAGATTTTCACTAAATATAGAAAAAAACACTTTTTGCGCTTTTTTTTTCCTTTTTTTTCACAATTAATTTTGTCTATACTTCATTCATTTATTGTAATTTGTGGCAAAATTTTCAGAGAAAATAAATACAAAGATTTAAAGAAAAGAAAAACAAGTACAGTTGAAAAAAAAAGTTCTTAATTAAATACAACAAGTATTGCATATTTTCATATTATTATTAAAATGATGTATTAAATATTTTTATTAAAACAGTAATAAAATAAGAACTTCAATCATTTATGAAAAAATAATTTTTACTACCACTAAAATGAAAGTAATCTAAATAAGTTAAGAAAAAAAATGAATAGATATAATTTATGACAATATTATCAATGAAGCAAATTAAAGTAGCATATTGCAAACAATAAAACTGCTTTGAGCGCATTTTCAAAATTCAAATGATTTTATGAAACTTTAATGTACGCATTTTTCAAAATACATCCTGATTATTTGTCAAAACCCTGTTTTTCAATACTTTGAAGTCTTTTCAACTGGTCAACTGACAAGAATTCATTTTGCGAGTTTAAAATAGCAATATTAGTCATCTTGGGCAGTTGTTAACCGTTGACCAAGCCGCATAAATCATATCAAATTACATAAATTATTATTATTTATTTTATTTACTTTTGTCAAGCAACCATTTACAGTTAAAGGTAATTTCTGATAAAATATTTAAAAAATATTAAATACAAGTACATTTCATTACTTATAATAGTTACGAGACCGGAGAACCTGAAGAAGATAAAATCTTATCATCAGTAAACTTTGGTAATAAAAATTAGAAATAAAAGTGTATTGTTAGAAAAAATCATGTAAAGAATCTTGATTGGTGATAAGTTCGATTATGTTTTTTTTTTTAATTTTTGAGAGGTATTGGCTTCTTTAAATTTACCACTCAGGCTTGTAAAATGGTTCCATAGCATTGGACCACAATAGGAAATGGCAAAGCTCGTAAGTTTTGATGTACGGAAAGGTTTTTTATATCTTACGGTAGATCGCATTTCGAAAACCTTCAGCGTTTTTTTGACTGATGTTGAAACATAAATTGTGTAATTTTGAAAATATTTAGTTCATAAATATCAAGTGCCCTCATGCCTTTTAGAAGAGGTTTAGCATTTGTGAAGCGATTTGAATTTTTGAAGCGAAAACGAATAATGCGTGCTGCATGATTCTGTTGTTTAAGGAGACAGTCGAGTTTAGATTTATTTGTACTACCCCAAATATTATTGCCGATAAATAACTATTTATGAATGCAAAATATAGTTGAGTTAGTGTAGATTTGTTTAAGATTTGTCTCGTTTTATATTATTATTATTATTATTATTATTTATTTCAGTGATCAAATATAAATACTATAATCCATTTATAATTTGATAAAGAGGTGCTACACCAGGCCCCTCTATGCTGACGAACATGGAGATACAGACGCTACAGACAAAGCAGCAGTTGTATCTATAAAGTTACTTTCTTATGTTGTTTTTGAAAACGTTGATGGATTGAGCATTCACTGCTTCTTGCGAAAGCGCATTCCAAGGGGCGACAATTCTATTTGAAAAAAAGTTATATTGCTCCTCACAGTTTTTTACCATCTGACGTTCTAGTTTATGGTTATGCCCTCTTAGAATATACTTATCTTTACTTTTTGAAAATTTTTGCGGGACAACAAAACTGACAAGCTCGAGTTTACGAGTGATTTTGAATTGCTTGATAAGATCTGCTCTTTTGCGGCATTTTTCAAGTTGTTAAACCGAGCCGTTGGAGTCGATCTTCATAGAACAGGTGTTTAATAGTCGATATTATTTTTGCTGCTCGTTGTTGGACTTGCTCGAAAATGGCAATGTCTGAATATTTGCGGTTTGACTCTAAGATCATTTGAGACCATCACACCAAGATCTCTTTCAACTGCGGTTTTTTTGAGAGGACAACGGGTGCTGTCGACGTTAGACATTGAGTATTTGTACGTTAACTTGTTACATCCATGCCCAACATGCATTACTTTGCATTTCTCAACGTTGAAATGCAAGAGCCAAATATATGACCATTCCACTGCTCTGTCAACGTCATCTTGGAGAGTGATGCTGCCTGACTCCTTTTTAATTATCCCTATTATTTTGCTGTCGTCAGCAAACAGTTTCATATGATGAGTAATTCTGTCAGGCAGGTCGTTTACAAAGATTACGAATAGCAATGGACCCAAGACCGAGCCTTGAGGCACTCCACTAATGACTGCTTTCCATTCAGAAGTAATGCTGTTTATAACCACTCGTTGACATCGATTGTTTAGCCAAGCTGCAATCCAGTCAACGAGAGCGCCTTGAATACCTTGAATATAAAATGCCAATACTTCTTGAGATTTTATTGCTAATATGTTTAATATGATCTCTACAGGATAAGTTTTCGTCTATCAAAATACCAAGTAATTTATTTGTGAATGAGCGCTCAATTTTGATGTTATTTATATCTAGCATTGGTAAGGATTTTGGAATATATTGAAACTTTTGTTTAGAATGGAATAAGGAAAACTTAGTTTTATCAGTGTTTAAAGATGGGCTGTTAGTGATAAGCCAGTTTGATATTTGTTCAAGTTTATTATTATAAATTATAAATTATAAATATACTTGAATCTAAATAAAATATCAATTATAAATATACTTTAATCTAAATCACCTTTGGAAAGAAATTTAAACACATCATCATCTTGTGTAGGATTAGAATTAGTATCATAGCCTTGTTTAGAATAAGGATAACTAACAACCAACGATCCCCCATGCAAAGTAGAAGATAAAACAAAAGGAACCTTGTTTAGCCAATTCATAATAGCTTTTGTTTCAGGCTGAAACTTTTTATTAGAACC